GCAAGTAATCTGGTTCCTGATTTACTAAAACGTTTCCTTTGCATAGCCTATGGGTTGCGATTGCAACATTTATTAAATTGTTTACTAGTTAGTCATTTCGTTTCATAAGTAGTTTCCCTGTTATCAACTACTCTCTCCTTTCAAAATAAATATCTCTCCAGAAAGCAGGATATAGTATTATTTCTCAAAACTTTCAACTAAAATCTTTCAACACTTTAATTAATAGATTCATTCGTTAGTTTGCGGAAATGCATTAGCAAAAATGCAAGCTAATTAATTAAGAATAACTCAAGATGAAAGTGGTCTATCTTAGATATGTTGTCTGATGTGGGCGGCGAGACGTGTACGGTCAACAGAAAAAAAATTGTAATCATAAGAATTGCAAATATTGATTTTTAAAACAGTGATACCAGTTCAAAAATCTACGTAGTTACTTAATAATGTTTTTTGCATTTTGTAAATAACATTACGAATCTTACTAATATTATAAGTGCGAATGTTTAGATGGATGGATGTTTGTTTGAAGATATCTCCGGAACGGCTGTACGGATATCGCTGAAATTTGGCGATAATGTAGAACATAGTCTGGAAGAACACATAGACACGACAGTTAGTGATTTATAAACAAATATTCTTAGTATTATAATATTCTTATATTACTGTCGTTTATTTTTAAATGTCTCGATGTAGACGAGCTCTTGAATCATATTAACAATAAATGATGATAAGAATAGAATAAAGGGGATTCTTATAAATCTGACAGAGCAGATGAAAAATATGATATAATGTTTCATTAGGTAACACAATGCCTATTCAAGTATACCAAATGTTTTGAAAAATCGCATCACACCGTTGTTATTGAAATTATAAAACTCTAAATAATAATAAATACGTATGCATACATTACATCATTGTGTAATATTCTTACAGTTGGTTTGAGAAACAAAATCTCTATCAAACAATATCGTCATCCCTGTCATTATGTTTGGCAAAACAGAGATAACAATATGTTTTAAATGGGGATTTTGTTCTCGGAAATCCACAGTAAGTGATGTAATGAAAGTGCAGTCGTGGACCTTTATTTGCCCATTTCAGTGAAGTTTTGTTAATCACAATGCACAGATCGAAGACTTGTCATAGTAACTTATGTAGGTCCCTTGCGTCCCGGAGGCCTTATTTAGTCCTCTTTCTCTTCCTACCCTTTTTCTTACAAAGAAACGATGGGAAGTGGAAGTGGACTTTCCGGAGGAGAGGATGCATGGAAAGGGAAGATATTTTCTTTCTATTCATCCTCCCCTCCTACGATTAAAGGTAGGCAACGCATATGCAATTGCATATGTCTATGGGCAACGGTCACTTCGCTATTTCGGCGATTTCAGGTGGCCGCTAGCTCGTTTGCCATCTTGTGTTATAAAAAAAGGTAGTAAGTTATATATCTTATGGTAACAGATTGATTAAATACTCAAGAAGGGCGGGTATTAAAAGCCTCTAAAACCGACGCGCATGTATGCGAAGTATGAATGTAGAAGAAGGGAAAGAGACGAACAAAAGAGATGTCTCAAGATTGCACCAAATGGAGGACCATGCTCTCTGCCTACCCCTCTTGGTTACGAGCGTGAGTAGTTGGTATGGTAACAGTTTGCTGTAGTCAATTTATAGTGGGTAGCGAATTTAATTCTTTAACTGCGTATATAAATGATAAAATTTTTGAACTTGTTCATTATTATTGCTGAGATCTGTATTTCGAATGTTGTTTATTCATGTTAAACCTCAATTCATATTGATTGATGTCATATAATCAGAATTCGATCGCATGTTGTAACGTTATTTGAAATCGATTATATTAGCAACGTCATATACATTCATATCATGTTTTCTGTATTTTCCTGCTGTTTTAATTTTATTTTAAGGCAACAAAGACAGATAAAATTTCTTTTATCTGGTTATTATCACCTCCGTATCCTTTGCCTTTGTGTCGGCACATTACTGTAGATTTCTGAAAGGAAAATCTTAGCGTGAAACATATTGTTAATTTTAATGTAACAAAGACAGATAAAAAATCTGTTATGTGGTGTTATCATAATTTCTCAACCCTTTTCCTTAGGATCGGTACTTTATCGTGGATTTCTGAGACCAAAATCTCCGTTTAAAATATATTGTTATCTCTGTTTTGTCAAAGGTAATGGCAGGGACGACAATATGTTTTATTAAGACATTTTGGTATCAGAAACCCACGGTTAAAGTAATATAACTCTATCAGCTATATGTTATTTACTCCCTCCTTACAATTATACACATAATTAATGCATACTTTCTTTGATCTTAATATACTTTAGTAGTCGTTTATTCCTAATACATTCGTTCTTATTTCCACTTTAATTAGGGACTTTAGAAACTATGTTAGCTATTAAATCCAATTAATATTAATTTGCTATGTCCAAATTAATATCCTTTCACTTTTAAATACATTTCGAAACTATAAATGTCAATGCTTTTAAATTACTAGCTTACAAAATAAATATCTCTTTATGGGAATGGATGTCTTAATGATTTTGATATTTCTAAATAGATTATGAAATACAGAAGCCGAGAAAAATATTTACGACTCTATTTATTAAGTTATATATAAGAATAATTCTAATATCAGTTATCAGTAAAGGCAGTTATCCTAGAAACCGCACGCATCGTGAGAAGGTTCCTGTCTCTGCAGCCCTGACCACTGGTTGTTTGAGTCATGGGACTCCGCAGCCTGTGGTGGTCTATTTATAATATATTTTGTATAATTTTTTTATTTTATATATGAAATTTAATATATTAAGAATAAGGTTAATAAATAAATAAGTATATACTAATATAATATGTAACCTGGGGGCACAGCAGTGCCGCCGTAAAACTACCCTTATCTCAAGTTGCAGAGTTAGTTACCTAAACAGTTCTCTAATACCGCGCTCACACTTACAGTGTCTTATTTACCGTGGGTTTCTGAGGACAAAAAACACTGTTTAAAGCATATTGTTGTATGTCTTTTAATCGATATTTTTTATACAGAGATTTTGGGCTCATAAACCAACGGTATAGTTTAAGTATGAGTCTGCACTAAAGGCGTTCCTTAGTAACTACCGCTTAGTGACTATTTAATGACTGCATGTGTCACGTGCATTGACAGCATTAATATATTATCTGTGCATCATATCGTGACATAATGTTTACGATAACATTATAGGTTATGTTGCAAGTTAGGTAAATCACGTAATTATCTTTGCGGCTACGATACGTAATAACATATTAATCTATGTTATATGTTGAAAGATTGCTAAATTAAACTTTAATTACATATATTTACATATCGATACTGTTGTCTTTTATCTTAATTATTAACTACAATATTGAGTTCATTGACTTCTTAAACAAATAGTTATCGCCGGCGATTCCTTCCGCGAGGAAAAATAGTAACCGATTGAAAGACCTGCAACCTACTGCATCATGCATATGCATATTTTTCATAAAAATCGATGAAGTCGTTTCAGTGGCGTTTGGTAACATTGTGATACAAGAATTTCATATAAAGAATATAAAAGAACATACAGCAAGTTTAGCCTTTACGTAAGATTTCGTTGTATTCTTGTTTATCTTAAAAGCAAGAGTCCAACTTAATTTTACGATAGTACTGATCTCTCAAACCCGACCCGAAAAATATGTTCATAAGTTGAACGTGAAATTCAGGTATATTATGATGTTACACAAAACTAATGACATGATAATTCTATAAAAAGGTAAATCGAAAATTATATTAAAAAAAACAAATTTACGTTCTATTTCCAAAATCACGTAATAACAGCTGTGAAAAGTATTTTAAATAAATTAGAAAGTTAACGATTATTGAATGTTAACACATAGGAAAAATTTATTTCATCGTCTATTTCATTAAAAACTTCTTTCTTATAAATCGTTTAATTCAATTAAACAATCAATTTTTAATCTGCAACAATTTGGTTGGACAATAAATTTAACTCACGTCACTTTCACTTATTCTGTTTACGATTTGATTTGCATTTTTTTTCTAAAAATGTTTCGTTTTTAATTCACACATTTATTATTATACTATTGCTATTTGGGAATTTTGTATGTGGTAAGTTTTATTTACTCTAGTGTTAATTAATTATTTAAGTATGGCAACTTTTGATCATCTATCATTTGTCTAAGGAATAAAGTGGGTAATTTAAAGTAGAAATTATACCAATTTGAAGTTTTAACAACCAAAAATTTATAATTATTAGTCGTAATAATTAGAAAGAGTCTTTGTGGAAGAAAAATTCAGGAATGTAGATATGTGATTTAATAAGAAAAGGTTTTTGAATACATTTTGAAGATAAACGTTCTACGGTTTGTATTCGGCAGTATTTTCAAACTAATACACAACCCTTCAAGAAGCCTGTGTACCTCTACCTAAGTCTTTCCCAAAGTGGGCTATAACGCCCCCTTGTGGGCGCTGCAGGTTAATATATGTACATATATAGGTTACAATAATTAATTAATTTAATTTGAAGTTATAGTAGTTTTAAAATATGTGAAAATATGGGGCGCTAAAAAGATATTTATTCTCAAAGTAGGCAGTAGAGTTAGAGTTAACCTTTGCGTTAGAGTAACTCAAAGGTAGCACATCTGCACTTCCTTTAGTGTTGTGAATATCCATGGGCGTTGATGACCAATTCGGTGTTCCCACCGCTTGTTTGCCACCTTTTCTTTGCTTTAAAGTAACAACGCAATCGTGCTGCGTATAGTTTTAAATTCAGGGCATCGTATGGTTACAGTTAATCGTGTATTCACATCAATTGAGTATTCTCTCACAATGATTATATAAACTTATGTAATAATTTAATTGATGTTTAAACTATGTTTCTAGGACGAATTATTCCTTAAAAGCTTTTTGTTATTATTTATTTTCTGTATAAATTATTCAAATGTTTGGTGGTTTGTTAATATGTTTTTGTTTGTTGCAGAGCTTCGAAGTAATTTTGGAAGTTTCAAAATGCTAAGCAAATTCGGGCCCAGGGCCCAACAACGATCGGAGTCGTGAGTTATTTTTTAACATTTTTTATAGTAATTAGTAACGATATTTTAAAACAGGCAAACTTGACACTTGATCGTTTACCGAGTGTTTCATTATTTGAAATATCTGTGGATGGGTTCAAGAACCGCATCAAAAGATGTTAATCGGATAGAAAACAGTCTTACCTAGCGTTTGTGGGTTTTGCGACGTTTCATAACTGTTTTGAACAACGTTCATGATGCAACTGCTATTACAAGCTAAATAATGCTATATCCAAAGTAATCGCGGAAAAGATGATTAAATCATTACGTTGTTTAGTAAAAAAAATATAAGTAGGGCTTGTAACGTTTATTGTACGATATACTCGTAGACGGTATCGTAATAAACCGATAACTTTTTAAAGTATTACAGTATCAAAGTACACAATTCAATATATGGAATACTCAAAATAATTTAGTAACCCCCATATAATGCAATGAAACGACCCCCAAATTCTTATTGCCAATGGATGAAATATATAGTTTGACAACAAGGGATGGCATTATGTTTTTGTTCCATTGTTTCCAAAGTGACCAATGGTGACAGATTAATATTACATTACAGATGGTGACTTGTGATAACGAGGGCTCGTCTCACGGCGGGTTCGTGCTGGGTGGTCGCGAGGATGACACACGCCGGTCCCGCGCACCTAGTATATCCTCGCTTTCTCTCTACAAGCAGAAGATTGACGCCCTCTTCGATGATACCCGCTCGGTGACAAGCCTGCCCCGCTACGGGGCCACCGCAGATGCTGTTCGAAGAGATAGCAAAGTAAGCTTAATGTGTCAGCAAAGCTACTAATATTAGTTGACATATGAAAACCGAAAAAGGAGTTCTTTGTATGTGCTATAATAAATAATTTTGATATGTTCCCAGGTGAGTTTGATACACGACCATCAGGCGTTAATATACGAAGACGATGATGATTACTGTCACAGGATGATGAAAAAGATCGATGGCTCCGTTCAGGACCGTATATCGAAGATGTTCGCTGACATGCACAACGAGCCCAGACAAATACCCGACAATATCGGAGTTCACATGTTCAGTGTACATTATCTGGGCTCAACACCTTTACAGAGTAAAGTCACCAGCCTATCTGGACTTCAAACACCACTCAAAGATTTATATTTCGCCTACAGGAGGAACTTTCGCCACAAAACAACGTTAACGGGCAGATTAGAAATATCCAATAGTGGTTTAAAAGTAAGATATAAAGGAGATAAAGGGGATTTGGAACAACTGAATCCGTTCCCAACGATAGCTGTATGGTCAGCAGTAAAGTTTGTCGTACAACGCTCCGATGACGATGACAATGATTTGAGTTACGCTTTTATGCCTCTAATAACCGATCCGGATAACATAGATCGACATGCATTATTCAAAACATTAGATACACCGGACAAAAAATACATCCTCTCCCACAACGAGAATTCGCATTCGCCTCTTTTCGCTGTAGTGATGAGGAAGATCGGAGTTGCTAAACAACTGGAGTGTCATGGGTTTGTATGTCAAACGTCAGAAGACGCAATCGTTATAGCAGCTACGTTATACAAATCTCTTATGTCACACATGAATCGTCAAGGTCATTCTGATAAAAATAAATTCAAAAATCGCAACGGCGTCAGCTGCATGAGTATAACCAGCAGTGTCCAAGATCGCGACACTCCGATCCGACCTCCGCGGAAAAAGCGAAGCACTTCGTCTTTAAGTGGAGACAGTGATAGAGCTGACGGATTCTCAGGGAGTGGGTCATTCAGTGATAAGACTAGATTAGAAAGAAAGTCATCAACTTCATCAGAAAACGTATTGATATATCATTCACAGCCAGTTCTAAACTATGAATCGAAACGAATAACACTAGAAGAAGTTAAGGCTAAATTAGATACGATTAAACAGGATGCTAGTGGTAGTAACACACCGGAACAAAAGAAACCAACTCAAGAATTTAATAGTTCTAATAATATTTATACTAAACAAAAACATGGCAGTACTGAATCTACAGTACGAAGTCAAGTGTCAGAGAAGATTGAATTATTTAGGGAATTGGAGAGAAGAAAAAGTATTCAAAGGCCACCGACTTTACCACCTCCCATACCATCGAAACCGCAGTTGCCACCACCGGACCCACCAACCAAAGAAACATTAAGACGAACGCAGAGCGGAAGAAAGTCATTAAGTGAGTCGGGAGACATTTTGACAAAAGTGGCTATACCCCGCTCTGGAAGTTTTTTAAATGCCGGTGGATTGACTCGCTACAAGTCTATAGGACATAGGTATGTACAATTAACTTTTGGAAAGATAATTTAGTAAATTCAGTAAACTAACAATAAACATACAGACAGACTTTTTACTATTTCTAGAATTATGCTACTATTCTTAAAAAAATAATTACCAATAGTTACTAAATATATTTCACCTTGAATAAAACTAATCAATCAATATTGAACATTGTTATCGGTCACTATAATTACTATTCACGTGTGGTATTTCGGTAGCAATGTATCATAATTTATCTGTTTTTATATTACTTCTTACTAATATTATATATGCTAATGTTTGAATGGATGGATATTTGTTAGAAGGTCCAGAATATCTGTATTGTTCGCGATGAAATCTTACATAAGATTTTTTTTTATTCCCCTTGGACGGAGTCTTGGGCGACAGCTAGTGTTATTATAATTTTTCACTTGATTGGCCATCTTAAATACTGCAAATAAAAGAACGAGAACACACGATGCATGCTTAGCGAAGTGTTTCGACACGTTGCATGCCAGTAATCGCGCCTAGCAACCGCATCCGATACATTCTTCTCATTCAATATAACAGTCACACTTTTTATATTATCTTCGTAATTACATTTGCACAGGGGTTGATAATATTTCTTTTCTTCTTATAATCTCAAAGCATTCTTTTATCAATTCCAGAAACAACGGCAAGAAAGGAGGCGGTTCACCATTGGGTTTTAACGAACTATTTAACGAATTTAAAGTACAGGAAAATTTACATTCTATGGATGAAATACTCAATGCCATAATAGATCCTGAAGGAATGTCATTCAATGATCTGAAACCTATTTACAAAGAGTTTCTGTTAAAATTAGCAGTAACATTAACGAAAGACGAAATATTTCAACACAGCAAAGCGATAATGAAGAAGCAAAAGAAGAAGATATTAAGACGCAATAATACATTCCAAAGCAAAAGAAGAAAAATATTTAAAGGAGCTAGTGGACTAAAAATGGTTTTTAGATTACCTTTTAGTAAAGATACTAGGAGAAAGGAATCTAAGAAACAAATAAGTGCGATAGAATCAGAAATAGGTACTAAGGAACCGGTATCAGAAAGTTCAGTTTCAACGTCAAGTTATGATATTAGACAATTCCGTCCGAAGGAATCACCACCAATACAACCGAAAAGACAAACAATGCGACAAAGAAAGAGATCAGATAAAGTTGTTCACGTATCAAAAAGGAATGGAAAAGTATCAAGACCTGGAGAGAGGACATCTACATCTGAAGATTCAGATTTTTTGACTCTTAGCAATCGTCTTGGTTGTCAAAATAGGAACAGTTCAAGTGGTTATGTGTCTTGTTCAGAATGTGAGTCGGAGAGCTGCGTAGATCGTTGCTATTGTTCATTAAAAGGTGAATGCAAAACAAAATGTTACTGTTCGGAAATTGATCTCGCTAAAGAACCATCGAAGACTCGTTTGATTAGTAAAAGCTGTAAAGATTGCTCCAAGTAAGTTGAAATATTGTTTTCTTCTAAATCTTACTAATATTATAAATGTGAATGTTTGGTTGAATATTTGTTTTAAGGTATCTATATGGACACAGTCTGGAAGAACACAAAGGCAATTAAGTTTTTTTTAATACCGCGCGGGCGACAGCTTGTATGATCTAATTACTAGTCTTTGAGTAATAAAATTATTATTTACTAAAGTAACTCGTTATAAAAATAATCAAACAATTCACACTTGAGCGCGATCCAGTAGAAATCACAACAATATACATTTTTAAATGATTATTCTTATGAGTCTAAATAACATTTCTCTACTTTCATCCGTCTGCGTTTTACAATTCATTTACTTTGACAGAGATGCGTCTCGGCGTGGAGATTGTGCGCTTTTAATTACATTAACTGAAACAATTTCTGCAATGGAATTTGCACCTTGTTTATTTTAGATTTATGTTTCATTATATCTACTTCAGTCGTAGGTAGAAATGAAATGTGCGAGGTAATTATCAGAGCATGCAACGTCCGCGCATCGCGACGCCTGATGAGTAACTGAACCGAATTATAATTACTTACAGTTCACTATGAATTCATAATTTCACTAGTTTTCCTACCCTCATTACTGTGACGTATATTTTGATGAGATTTAATTATATACAACACTTTCTCTACTTGATAGTAATAAAAGGAAAGTAACCTTCCATGGTGTAGTGTCCGTCAACTAAGTCACTAAATTTATTTATTTACTTATATTTATTTCTAAATTGCCATTACGTTTTGTAATTCCTTTTTCATCTTCGAGTTTTATAATAAATTAAAATTACATCAATGCATTATTATTAAGAAAATTTTACATAATATTAAAAGCATGTCAATTTGCTAATTCTATTAACGTGACATGGTTAGCTAAAATGTGACAATTTCTATTTTTTTTCTTTCAGAGAAGTGTACGATGGAGACTACAGTTACTGTTCTTGTGATTCTGAGAGTTGTGAAGATAGTAACAAATGTTACTGCACCAGCCCACGTAGAAGTACTATGCAAAGTTCTCAGAGTTTAGAATATCTGCGCAGTCCCACACAAAGGAGCTACTCGGATAGAATGAAGCGCGCCTTTGATGACTATGACTATAAAGTCACTAGAGCGAGGTAAGAGTAATAATGCTTTTAACTATTTATGCGTACGTTCTCTTACCTGTTCTTGTTCCTTTCATAGGAGATTTGAGATTATTAGAGTAGTTAGTGTATTCTCCCAAGCAGCTAAAGTTCTTTTCCGTTTTCCACCTTTTTGAGCATGTACAGTCTCTTAGAACTGTGGGTCTTTAGAAGCCAGAGAAATAAAGGTTTGTTGTAAGATTTCAAAAATGATGGTGATGAATGTACCTAAATTTGAGGATTGTGACCTTCAGGAGAATCCTCTTCGCAATATAGACTCTTACGCATTTTAATTTTGCTCAAATGTTTTAGAAGTAACATTAAAATGTTTACAGATCAAGTGCTGCGTCGAGCCGTCGCCGCGAGGAGCGAGCTCGGCGCGCGCGCAGCTCCGACAGCCTGGCGCTGGACTACGAGCTGCTGCTGCAGAACAAGCCGCGAGATGCCGCCCGCCGCAACATGCAGCGTCTTACTGGTTACACATATTTATTGTTTCTTTGTGGTAGATAGAGGGATTACTTGTGATAAATAAAATAGGAACTAATATTAGGATAGCAACTAATAAAAGAAGGCATTAAAGAAGACACCTACCAGTAGACAAACTAATGATAATGAAGCAAAATAGGACACTACAAAATACTTCTAATATTTTAATATGTGAAATAACCTGCATAAACAAGTAAAATATCAAATATATTCATAAATTCTTCCTATGTTTTCAGTTCGCAGTACCGGTGCAGGCTCACACGACGCTCTCAGTGTTAAGAAGTCAGCAGAGATGGCGGCTCTGTTCGCAGACGTCCGTCTATCTCAGAGAACAGATGTACGCTCTCTGGCCGGAGGGCGAAGGTCCAGGCCTCCGCCCCTGCCGCCGACCCCGCCGCGGAACGCCCCGCAAATAGCTAGAATGTTCGACCACATGCCTTTAAGCAGGAACGCTAGTCTTGAAGACACTTTAGGGTATTTGCCCTAGATGTAGGTAAGACTAATAATTTGATACGTTAAATGGAAAAGTATGACTTAAAATGTATTCTGTTATTACACAACCATTACTATCCTAATAACCTTCCAAATTTATTTACATTTAATTCTCCAAAAATACAAATCAAATAACTGGACCTAGGACTGTACCTCGTGGAACCCTGCATTAATATGATAGATTACTATTAAAACTTAAACCAAATTTTATGATTTATGGAATTATACAATTAAATGAATGCTATTTTAACTATTCTAAGTATTGTAAACAAACATATATACATACAAAACGTAAAATCTAGAATGTAAGTCTGTCGATTGCATATGAAATTGCGTGTGTAATTATTTTTAATTGTATCCGTCCTCAATCCGTAAATATATCGTCTAAGCTATGGTTCAATTAACAGAAATATTTAGTTTAGCAAGTTTTCAGCTGCTAATTATATTTGACACAATAATTAATTGATATTGACCTGCCAATGTATTAAGTAATTCGAATGGAGACGTTCAGAATAAAGATATAGCTCTACTTGTGAAGTATTGTGGATTATATAGGATGTTCAATCATTGTCGATCAATTTAATTTGTTTGTGGCTATTTCTAATATAATTCTAAAGATTTTCATCAATACAGTAAAATATAATCCATTGCCTTATTTATGTTACTTAAATGTTCTTAAAGTCAATAAGAAAAGCTTAGTGGTAGGTTTACATTATTCCAGTCCAGCAATCTTAATTAGAATTGGATTAAAACTGGAAAACAGTGGATTAATTACATTCAAGATTGGGTTACATTTTACCAGTTGAAATATAGCGCTTATTTCGATCGCTGGACTGGAATTATTTAAACCAGGCATAATATTATATAAGAATGCGTAATTTTTACCACGATATCAACATAGTTATTATGAGTTTCCATTGCTGAAAAAATACACAAAAACATATTGTTATTCCAGTTTTTCTAAGAGAATGAAAGAGTCGACAATATGTTTTGAATGTATGTTTCGGTAATGGGAACGGCGAAGAAAAATCGAAGGAATACAGCTGTAGTTTTACCCTTTTTAGGGTTCCGTACCTCATAGGTTAAAAACGGAACCCTTATAGGATCACTTTGTTGTCCGTCCGTCTGTCTGTCAAGACCCTTTTTTGTATCTCAAACGTATACCACCTTATTATATAAAATAAGGATTTCAATTAGGTATATAGATGTACTATATAATATTTAATCTATGTATGTAGTTATTTATTTGTGAAAATAACCTTTATACATAGTGCAATATGTCGAGTCAAGTATTCTTTAAGTGCAATAACGATTTTACATGGAATTTTTATTTATTTTTTTTAATCGATAAACGACGAAACGATGTTATAACAAAGACTTACCGTGGCTTTCCGAGTCCAAAATCTCGGTATATTGTTATCTCTTTTTTGTCAAAGGTAGTGACAGGGATGACGATATGTTTTATACATTGATTTTGGTATCAGAAATCCACTGTTAGGAGTACACAAAATCGTAATTAAGTTAATGACTGATCAAACTTACTCCCGTAATAGTTGGATTGTAAACTATAGAGCTATGGAGTTGTTTTAGTTATAAAATCGTTTCGTCACTTCATTGGTTTCTGAGACTAAAATCCTCGTATAAAATACCATCCCTCTCCTTTTCTTTGACAAAAGAGAGATAACAATATTTTATACAGGAGTTTTGGTCTCGGAAACCAACGATAAGACTTTCTTACTAATGTAGCTGTAACATTTTATTTCTATTTAAATGTGCAATAAAAATGAAAATTATTTTTCATTCAACTCGATGCTTCCTGCGACGTGCAATATTTTTCTTTGATGTACATAATTGTTTAATGGTGTAAAATAAAATATTTTAAAAAATATATTGTTTTATTAATTAATAAAATAAAAGTTTTAACCCCACGAAAATATCTCACTCGATATTCTAACTTAAAGAGTTGCTTAGAAATTAAGGGTAACGCGGACTAGTCAATACCTCGCACTGCACTGCCCAGCGTTGAGAACGCTGTGCCGTCAAGTATATCTTTATCTCGTTCATTTGGCGACGTGTACGAGGAGACGGCATGTCCGCTTACTAGGAGTGGACAAATGTACGATAACCTTTAAAGCAACTACGATTGAACGCATGAAATCTTTATGATGTCATCTCTGCGTGTTTTTCTAATTTATTTGTAAAATAAAGTCTTGAAATAAAAATATATCAATGATTTTTATTAACATTCTAATACAATGTAGTCGCAATTTCACCACTGGTACATTATTCTTATGTAAAATAAAACAAATAATTCGATACATACAATTATTATTCTTATATACTAACATATTCTCATTCATTATAATGTTTTCTTAATTATAAACATATCTAAATTAACAATTTACTTATATATTAATAATGTTAGTAACTAATCTCATTTAAAACATCTGTTATATTACAAATTATTTCTTAACTATTTTTTTTTATCAAACATAACTTATATTTACAAATATTTCGTTGACTCAGAGTCTTTATGAGTATTTAATTGTAAAGCATTAAATAACCGACAGGATAATATAAATACTGTAAATTTCGTGTTAGGGAAAATACTTCGATTGCAAAAAAAAAATTTAACCAAATTATTGCAAGGATATTGCATTGAAAATTAGCAATAGGACGTTAAATACGAATAGTTGTAATTGAAACAGTATGAAATGTTCATAATTCATACGTATTTACTCGTTAAACATCGAAATTAAGTTGACTATTATATGCACCGTCTTATATTAGCATAATATGATAATAAAAGAGGTTTGTTAATTTTTAAATTGGTACAAAATAAAATATAGAACATACGTAATAAAAAATCATTGACTCCAAAAAACATCAACTCAGCTTTGATTACACTTTATGGCAAAACTGAACTCAGTTGTAACACGTGCAATATTGTGATCTGTACTGCACACACTAGCCACGTCTGTACCGAGCTCCGCAGTCGAGACATCTGTCTGTTCGTCATCGTGAGGTACATCACTAGATGTACTATGGCATATCAGTAGGGCCGGACTGTCCCGAGTCGTCCGCGTGGGATGGGCTCCGCATAGCTGTGCCGGAACTTTGTGGGCTGGCGATCCGCCAGCTCGCGGAAGTCCCGGTACTCGCGGTCATAGTACCTGTCCCTATCTCTGTCGCCCTCGGGGTAAGCCACGCGCTGCTCGTCCAGCAGCCGGGAGCGACTGAAAGCGCGCTGCCGGTCCGTCCACTCCCGACGCCGCTCCTCCAGCACCGGCTCGATCTCGTCCTCGTCTATGCGCCGGTCCAGCTCCCGCCGCTCCCTGTACCGATCGAAATCGCGCTCCGGCTTCGGCTCGATCCTGTTCAGGTAGTCCTCCGCGCCGTATTCGTACCGCTTCTCGTCCCGCTTGCGGCCTACGCGCGGCAACCTCTCTATCTCCCTGTGGCCGAGGTCCGCTGGGTCGACGTCTCGCACGCGCTCTATGTCCTTGCGCCGATCCGTGTCGCGGTGAGAGCGCTCGATATCCCGATGAGAACGGTCAGGTTCTCGTCGGGAGCTCAGCTCTCGATGGCGCTCCTGCCGCTCGTCCCGTCTCTCTTCCTCGGGGGAAGAAGTCGAGCGACTATTCCTTTCGAGCATGCTCCTCCTCATGGCCATATGCTGCTCCAGCTCCCTGTTGAATCTCTCCCTTTCCAGGTTCATGAACTTCTCCTTGGCGACGTTGAAACGGTCCTTCGGTGAGGTCTCGGCGAGTTTGAGACTGCCCTCGCTGGCACCGCGCTGCAGTTTGCCGAACCGTCGGTCGTCACCCCGGTCTATGCTCCGATTGGAGGGCTTGGCTTCGGGCACGTACCGCCGCCTGTAGCCGGTTCCATCCTCGAGGAATTTGTCGGGCTTCTCCTTAGTGCCGCGTTCGAGGGACTCGTGGCGGAAGCGGCGTTCGAAGGTGGCGTCGCGGAAGGGCGCAAGTTGGTCGCGGTAAGGCTCGACGGGCGGCAGGTAGTCGTCGTTGTAGGCACGATCGTAGCCGCGCGGGGAGAGCGCTCGGCGCGGGGGTGAGGCGGCACGAGGTGGCGACGCGGCGCGGCGCGGGGGAGACGCCTCGAATGCCTCGTGCATCATGTACGCCGTGCTCTCCGCCCAGTCCTCCTCTGAAAGTCGTAAAAAATATTTTTAAAAAGATACAAAATTTTAAAACAAGAAATTTGCAGCTTGACACATTAGATTTTCTGGCAAAAAATCCTCAAACTCAATCTCTTATTAACAATAACGGTATTAAAATGCTAAACAGCTTTTAAGGCAGTACATGACACGAAAAATCACATTTCACCGCCTACGCTAAATATTTGGCATAATCTGCTGATATATGATCCAATAACCTCTATAATTATGACTAACGTGTCTTTGGGAACAAGTTCTACTCGATTGTCTGTTCACTTTTACGTATAACGGGATATAGAGTCATCTTCGTGGACACATATAACGAGTCAACACGTTAAAAACGAAATCGACATAGAAAGGAACCTGTCACACTCCCACGCGACGCTCGTCATTATTGTCCACAACAGTTAAGTAGTTAGGGTGCGCTAACTATAAATAGCTAATATTGCAACTAACATCACATTCGAAGGGTCTAAAATATATTGTAAACAGATAAGTAGCTAATCCCATTCTTTCTTTTCTATTTCTTAATTTCATCAGCAATCATATTATAATAAGTTCATGGATATTGTATTGTCAAATTAAATGTGGCAATGTGTGTATATATCTTTCAGAAACCAAAAGAGTGGTAGGTAGAGACTATGGACGTCGTTTTGATGCGGTCCTGACAAACTTCTCTGGCGGTCCTTGGGGTCTGAATGTCTACATTCATACATCTTCACTTACATACGTAAAATAATCTTACTTCTTACTAATATTATAAATGCGAACGTTTAGATGGATGGATGTTTGTTTGAAGGTATCTCCGGAACGGCTCAACGGATTCTAATGAAATATTGCACACATGTAGATCATAGTCTGGAAGAACACTTTATTAAGTTTTTTTAATTCCGCACGGACGAAGTCACGGACGACAACTAAAAATAATAAAAATAAAACTCTCGCTTAATATTCAGCTTGTTACTAAGGTAGCGGCTTTATATTTAAAATGCAAGCCTGAGATTTAGGTTTCGCGATTCTTTTGGTTTCATTATATTCTGTTGAAACTAATTCCCTGTGCGCACCATTAAAATAATTAACATTTTTCTTCTATTGTCTGCAGTAACAATAACACAAAGAATACTGTTTAAAAAACCTACAGATAACAAAGTAGTTCATCTCAAAATACAATTGTATCAAATGTTTTCAAGGACAAAAATAAAATTTGCATATGATAAAATACAATCAAGCTATTTTAAAACAATTTGGGCCAATCGTCTGCGCAGAATCAAAATACAAATTAGTAAAGTGTTCTTCCAGACTATGCTCTACATCTGTGCCATATTCATCAAGATCCGTTAAGCTGTGCTGGAGATACCTTCTAACAAACATCCATCCATCTTATTAGCATTTATAATATTAGTAAGAAGTACGATAACTTTACTTGAAGTGTCCAGAGACCATGAGGTAATAAGTCGGGTCATGACCGCGATGATGCCATCACTCGCATCCTATTCGGTTTTGTTTTTAAAATAAAAATAAACATAGCTTAGATCATTTCAAAGGTAAACTTGCATTTCAATAGACAATGTTGTTTACAGTACAGAATAACAAAGACGTTTTGGTTTTTATATAAATATTTGTTCTTGTAGAAGAGAACTTAACAAAAATACAAACATCATTTGTCTTTCAAATTCAAATTGTTTGATTAAATCAATCATTTGTAGGCATTTGCTCTATTTTCTTCTTTTTTTATATAATAAAGTGGCAAACGAGCAAGCGGCAACCTAAAATTGCTGAAATAGCCATGTGACCGTTGCCCATAGACATACGCAATTGCATATGCGTTGCCTACTTTTAATCGACGGAGGAGAAAGAAAATATTTTCCCTTCCTATGCATCCTCTCATCCGGAAAGTCCACTTTCACTTCCCATCCATTCCTTATAAGAAAAACGGTGGCAAGGGAAAGAGGACTAAATTAGGCCTCGGGACGCACACTCATCAGACTGCACGCGGAATTGCTTCCACTTCATGTCTGTCACCGGGCGAGCCGGGCAATTCGTGCGAAGTGTTAAAGCAGGCTCTACCATTGTTAAAATTCTTCTATTTGCTTCTTCTAAAATTTATAAATTATATTTAATTTATAAATTTTAAGGTATATTTACCTAATGTTTATTACTTTATATATTAAAGATAAATCGCGAACATACATTCTTGTGTACAAGGTTCTAGAACCCTTCTCTTTTGTTTCTTACGAGTACCAATCTTCTATCATAAAAGCGAATGTTTCGATGGATGTTTTTTACAACTTAGCGGAACTTGATGAAATTTATTTATTATGTTTAATACTTTAGCTTTCTAATATAAATAAGTTCATTGTAAATAAAGGTCGTGCTACACATTGTTTTTTTTTATAACAGAAGGGGGCAAACGAGCAGCGAGAACACCGAGGTGTTCAACGACGCCCATGGACATCAGCAATACCAGAGGAACTGCAGATGCGTTGCCGGCCTTTGAGATGGTGATAAGCTCGCTTCTTGAAGGACCCTAAGTCGTAGCGGTTTGGAAATACCAATAATAAATGGTACTAACAATACACCCACAAACACCGTATCAAGCATTAATTGTAGAAAATATACTAACCACTAGTGCTATGGTTATCGTGTTGTCTGGCGTAATCATTCCTCTCAGGTGAGGGCGCGAGATCACTGCCGATACCAGAACTGCCTCCCGACGACTCCAGCTTACGTCTCGCGTTTACTCCAACTATGTTCTGATTGAGGCAACGCCGTGTGTCTATATTACTGAGGTTGCCTTTCTGACGATGCACCGTGTCGTAGTCTCTAGGTGGAAGTAGGATTGGACTTTTGCCTGGAATGTAGAAATGCGAATTTTATAATTGATTTTTTTTTATATCATAAGGTGGCAAACGAGCGACGGCCACCTGAAATCACTGAAATAGCGAAGTGACCGATGCCCATAGACATACGCAATTGCATATGCGTTGCCTACCTTTAATCGACGGAGGAAAGGATACACAGAATGAAAACATTCCCCTTCCATGCATCCTCTCATCCGGAAATTCCACTTCCACTTCCCATCCTTTCCTTATGAGAAAAAGAGTGGGAAGGGAAAGTGGACTAAATTAGGCCTCCGGGACGCACACTCATCAGACGAAACGCGGAATTGCTTCCACTTGACGCCTGTCTTCTGTGTGGTCGTGGTATTTCACCGGGCGAGCTGGGCCAATCGTGCGAAGATGTTAAAGCGGACTCTACCACTGTTTAATAATAAATAATTAATAATGTATTAAATTGCTATTGCTTCAAGCTAGGATAGCTTGCTTTTTGATATGTTTTAAATTGAGATGTACTACAATATATAGATATAATTAGCTGTAAAATATCATAAATATAAGGACTTTTAATGTATTGATTTTTCACTAGAGCTCGGATGGAATAGCAAGCTGTAATCATTTTAAAATAGTTAAGCGTATAAAGTTAACAAAAATGTCATTTTGAAATAATAATATATATTATGGCAGAAAATAGAAAAAAATATGGAAGATTTTAAAGTAAGCCAATTGTAATTTAAATAAAAAAAGCGAGGCAATAAATTGGTGAATTACTATACAAAATATAATAATATATAAAAAACTACAAACCAATAAAAGTGCAATTAGCAAAGCTACACTACTCAAATTATAAAATTCAACTGACCTAGACCCTTTTTACCTGTAGACAATTTCTGTTTCAATTCGGCTGCTAAACTGTCGTATAGATTCGCCACACATCGTTCCTCGTTACTCCCGGAGTCTGATTCTCTGGATACTTCGCTACCAAGAGAGGAGTCTGGAGGCTTCTTTGAAGGGAGAGCTCCGCGCATTTGTAATTTCCTTTCGATATCTGCAAACTTCTTCTGGTTCTCTGGTCTCTCTATTAAGGCTTGTAGATGCGTGTACAACATCTCAGCTGTATGATCCGAATCGCATCTGTTGAAAAAATATTATTTTTACTAATATTATAAATGCGAATGTTTAGATGGATGGAAGGATGGATGGATGTTTGTTAGAAGGTATCTGCGGAACGGCTGCATGAATCTTGCTGAAATTTGGCATAAATAGTCTGGAAGAACACATTGCCTTCTGATTACAGTAAGTTTTTTTTAATTCTATGCGGACGAAGTCACACACGACAGCTATTTGTTAAAAATCTTGTATGACCACTGATATTTAAAGATTTTGATGTCGATAACGTGTTTAAAATATTCCATTTTAATTATTATTAGGCATTCGTTTGCTTTTAGCAAATGTTTTTAAAATTATATTTTAATTTGACGAAGTTTTCGGTCACGATTTTATGTTCGTCGTATTTTTTTTAGTTCTTTTGTGAACAGGATTTTCTGCTTGTGACTAAATTACATTTATTTCAATTTTATTGATTACGTTAATGTTCAATTTGAAAGATAAAATTGATTATACGAATACAATTATCCGGAACGGAAATTATCAGTTTAAGTTTAAAAGACTTTATTGACTCAAAATTTAGTCTAAACTATAAGTTACGATTTAAATTCAATTTTAGTTTGATTCCACTAATATACCTTTTCAACTAACGATTTTGAGGTCGAATTTCTTTGTGGTCTAAACATTTTTTTTAATATTAAACCTTAACAAAAGAGACATCACATAGACCATGTACACATATAAGTAAACATATAATAAATATAACATAAGGATATACATATACGTTTTATGTTCGTGTCAGGCTCCGCATGGCGCGGCATTGTGCCAGAGAATGTCAGAGTTGAAAGATTCGCAACAAGGCCACTTGTCTCCGTGTTTACCGAGACGCTTCGTTTGCTTTGCCATCTTCAATATCCTTAATAACGATTTAAATTAAATACCGGTATGTCTCGTTTAAGTATTGTTCACTGACAAACTTATGGGTACGGATATCCAATCACGTGGTTAGCGGTTAGAATCCAATTCGATGTCTTAAACTTAGAACATAGTCAAAATGATTATATTATGAATCTTTGGAAATCTTACTAATATTATAAACGCGAATGTTTTGTTCGATGGATATTTGAAGGTATCTCTAGAAAGGCTAAACGGATCTCGTTAAAATTTGGCAAGTATATAGAACACAGTCTGGAAGAACACATAGGTTACTAATGATGTTTTTATTATTCGTTGAGTCGCTGGCGACCGCTAGTTTTCAAATAATCTGTTAAAATCAATTGGCAAGCGATTGTATCGTTAGATTAAAAACCAATATTGTAATACCATTACCGGTATTAGTCAATTTATATCTAGTTTTAACGGATGTGACGTAACGGTTAGGGACTTGTCACATAACTCGGACAACTAATGTATCATTTGCATTACGTGACATTTGTGTATTATTAAGTAATTATGTAATTGTTATTACACTATTTCGTAAAGTAAATAAGTAGATGTGATGTGTAATAACGGTTTCCCAATAACTTAATCCAATAACATAAGTTGGCTAAGTTTATCCAAAAATAACGAGAAAGACAATTATAATTCCCCTCTTGGTATGTTTTTTTTAAATATTAGCAGATAAAAATTTAAAAAATCTAAAAAAGATAGAAGATTTAATCCTTTCAATTACAACACAATTAGCAAAAGCAGTGTTAGATTTAGAGGTATGATGACCCTTAAACAACGACAAGTAGGTAACAACCGTAGGTTTTTGAGACTAAACTACTATTATCTCTGTTTGCCAAAGACAATAATAGAGATGACGATATGTTTTATACAGAGATTTTGGTATCAGAAACCCACGGTAAGTTCGTTTACCCATTTTATAAATACACCTTATAACATGGGCGTTAGTTGACAATTTCAAATTAATTAACACACGAGAGGTATAATTTAAAGTTACATAGAGACGTGTAATTTATATCAGTGTAACGTAAAAACCAATCTTTGAACAAGCTCTATATCATCATCATCAGCTAACTGTACGTTCCCACCGAGGGGCTCGGAGCCTACCCTAAGTTAAGGGTGATTAGGCCATAGTCAACCACGCTGGCCAATTGCGGGTTGGTTGACTTCACACATATCTTTGAATTTCTTCTCAGATATGTGCATGTTGCATCACGATGTTTTCCTTCACCGTAAGAACGTTGGATAAATGTACATATGTAAATCGGAAATAGAAAAACACATTGGTACATGGCGGGATTCGAACCCAGGACCTGCAGATTGCAAGTCAAGTGCTTGACCACTGAGCCACCGAAGCTCTATATGTTACATAGCAATTATTTGTAATAAACTATGTTGTATGTAATCTTTTCACACGCAATATGATAAGTAAAATTATGATTATTATTACGTGATATTATCACAGAAACTAGAGCGTACGTGGCTCAGGGGTTAAGCAGTTGACTTGTAATCTTTAAGTCTTGGGTTTGTATCCCGCCATGTACCAATATCTTTATCCGATTTACTTTAAACGACTACGAGACTCTCAGTGATATAGTGAGCTGATGATGATTACAAGAACGAATATTATTTAATAATCTGTTTAACAATCATTTAAACAATTGAAAAAATTACAATTTACTGTCAAAGATAGAATATTAGCTTTATGATTGTTCTATCTTTTATAGTTCATTATGTCTATATAACGTCTATGTTAGAGATTTTATAGACGAATTCAGACGATTTTTTTAACTGTTAAGGAACGTCAAATTATCTATTCAGTGTATTTTTTGCTTACGTGTAAATAATATTTTACAAAGATTTTGTTACATGTACTCCACCAATATTTTTTGAAACTTTCTTAGACTTTCATCAACTAACTACTAAATATTTAAAATTGTTTATTGTTAATATTAAATTAAAATAATTTGTATAGACTTTCTAGTCTATCAAGTTATTTGAATGACTGGAACATTACTTTAGAATTCTGTCAGATAATTGAAAATTACTATGCTTTAACGTACATGTGAAAAGATTTGATTCTTATCGTTCCTTTGCATATAGTTGTATTTACATGAAAGCTAGCGAGAAAGCTTTACTTTCTACATGACTTGTGAAGTCTAATTTATTATGCTTCTACCTATCATTAATTATTTATATTCTGTCCTTCGTTAAATGATTTTGCTTTCTAATTAACGTAATTATACGGTGTACGTCAAATCGTTAAATTTATACTTAATTAATAGCGATTCAAGAGCTAATTATTAGATATATTATTAAAATTCTGCGGTTAATTAACTTAAAATTAATTAGAAACAATTTTATATATGTTTTATGTTGCTTATGTCTTATAGGAATTAATTGAAATAGGAACAAAAAGTTGAAGCTATAGCCCCTGTTAAAAATTTCATGATAAGATGCATAAATTAAAATTTGCTATTTGAAAAATAATTTGCAAAATATTTTAACCATAATCAATTCGTACATTGGAATAACCTATAGGTTATAACAGAAGAAATTTATTTTGTAATTCCGTTACACCAAACACTATAAAATAAAAATTTACAAATTTTATAATTATCATAAAACTATTCGTATAAATTTTAGCACCTAAACGTGTTTTATAGCATAAGATAATTTGATACAATCTTCTACAAACCTGTCGACATAATGGAGAAAGTTTTCTGTTTTAACTGTCAGTCCGCCATGTTTAAACAACTGTCAAAAACGGATCTCACAGAACCCGCGAAATACTACGGGTGTTTTATAAGTACGAGGTGAAAGGCCGGTTATATTGCGTTGTAAACAGCTGATGTATGCAAGAATAGTCACGATAAAGAACCTTTTATGGTTCAACTAACCATAATAACTGTTTTATTTCTGTTACTTATATAAATATGTTCATAATTCGTCTTTAAATCGGTAGAATGTTTAAAATATATCCATGGATGTAAATTTCTTTAAATTTGTGCTATTATTGTTTTTAAAAGTTGGGACAAAAGGATTTAGATTTTTCAATTAAGAATAGCGCCATCTAGTTAAAAATTAAATAACATTTTAAGGTTTAAATGGTCGTTGTTCAAAAAATATCTATTTTACTGTTAAAAGAACGATGAAATGAACCTTCTATATGAAAGAAAAATATAAAAAAAGATAAAAAAACCTCGATTAAACTTGGCATAGATATAAAACATAGTCTGGAAGGCGACTTATTAAGTTAGTTTTTAATTCCACACGAATTCGTGGGCAAGAGCTAGTTCATTGAATAAAATGTTATATTGTCAAAAAATACAAAATGACATTGTATTTGTGTTCAACAGCTTGCACTTTCACTGTATTGTAACAATATAACGTAACAATTTCACTGTCGTTCGCATTGACATTGTCCTTTTGCTGGAAAACAACAAGATGTTTTTATCTTTGGCAATAAGTGGAAAGTTTAATAAATCTTAACTTTTTGTTAAAACACTTAAGTTTACTGTTACTAAAAGGCTCAATTACATTATACTGGTAACCAATATGATGGAATAATTATTAACATAAGTGGAAGAAATTAGACAGAATCAGAATAATCATGTAAATTTTCGATATCGGAATGCTATCAGTGCCGTTAGGATATCTATAACCCGGTCAAGTTTATAAACTAATAGCTGTCGCCCGCGACCCCGTCTACAGACTATGTTATACATCTGTTCCAAATTTCATAAGTTCCTTTAAGCCGGTCCGGAGATACCTACAAACTAACATTCATCCATCCAACCATCTAAACATTCGCCTTTATAATATTAGCATGATAATAAGACTTGTCTTGCTATCATAGACACTCGTTAGTCGCTATTTTGATTGAAAGAAAGAGATTTAAAATATATCTCTGATAATTACAAACATAAAACCGTAGGTTTTTAAGACCGAAATCCTTGTTTAAAATTGTCACCTAACGTTTTGTCAAAGATGAAAGGACAGGGATGACAATATGTTTTATACAAAGATTTTAGTGTTAGAAACCCACGGTTAGTCTAGCTATTAGTAAAGTACAATTAAAAATCAGTTCATTACTTTATTATGACATTATTAGGTTGTTACAGACAAATCTAGAGACATATGAATTTGTAGATAGTTAGCCTTAGCTAGAGCGTCGGTGGCTCAGTGGTCAAGCACTTGACTTGCAATCTGCAGGTCCCGGGGTTGAATCCCGCCATGTATTAATGTGTTTTTCGATTTCCGATTTACATATGTACATTTATCCGACGTTCTTACGGTGAAGGAAAACATCGTGATGCAACATGCACATATCTGAGAAGAAATTCAAAGATATATGTGAAGTCAACCAACCCGCACTTGGCCAGCGTGGTTGACTATGGCCTAATCACCCTAAAGTTAGGGTAGGCTCCAAGCCCCTCGGTGGGGACGTATAGTGAGCTGATGATGATAGCGATAGCTAAATATCATAATACATTAAATCTAGGTCATAGTTATGGAGTACGAAAATGCCACTTTGGGTAACGGGCCTTGTCACAAATAGTTGTCGGGTCGGAGAGTAAGATGTCGCTACTTACCCGAGCTCGACTGATGCGCAACGTGATATGCCAACTTAGGGTTGCCATGCTTAAAAACTATGAAACTTTAATTTATTCTAGATCCATTTCTAATTTAATGCTATTTAATAGCTTTATATATGTTGAAGTTGCATTTATATATTCTTTTTTTTTTTAGAAAATATTAGCAGGTTTTTGTTAATATTTCTTATACCATTCCAAGTAAGCTTTAAGCTTGTGCTAGAATATGGTTTAAAACAATAGTCGAATAGCGGGATTTGATCCTCCGTTGTCGTGATCGGAAACCCGCACCCTTAACCATTAGGCTATTGACCCTTTAAAATTGGTTGAAATAGATTGAAAACAAAATTGTAAAAATAACGCTTGAAAAAGTAGGCAATAAAAGTAGACATTTCATAAATCTTGAAATAATTGAAGTTAAAGGATTCTCTAATATTCTTTTTTTATAATGGTATTATTTTGTTATTTCTACGAACACGTACAAGGGGTGGGTAGACCGCAAATGTAAGGTTTCGCACCGGAAACTACCTCGATTGATTCAAGTAAGTACTTTGTACAGAAAACTGGTTGAGTTCTCTATATCTAATAGACTATAGACCTTACTGGTTCAAAAAATAAGGTTCAAATTCGTATACTTAGGCTACCAATGATTATTTTTTTTATATTACTTTGAACACTACAAATAACATTCGTGTCCCTTCCTTAATAATTTAGTCTATATGAAACTATACGAGTAAATGGTGGATTTTAAAAAATGCTACTAGTGAAGACAAAATAGTACAGATATGTTTAACATGAGACTTAAAAAATATATTATAGTTATCTCTGTTTTTCTCAAAAAGAATAAGAGAGATAAGGATATGTTTATAAGTTATTCGACAGTGGAATGTCTTACATCATCATTGATGTATAAGGTATGAGATTACGTCACTCGGGTTTAATGAAATATAATACTGCGACCTTAATTTGATACGTTGTGCAGTTTTGTGAGACATTCACCTCCGGTCAACAGTTCACGGACCCGAGTTTGTTAAATTATTATTGCTATCTGTCACCCGAACTCCGTCTGAATTAAAAAAAAAAACATTTAATAACTATCCTACGTGTTCTTCCCGAATTTATTCTACATTTAACAGTGGTAGAGCCCGCTTTAACATCTTCGCACGAATTGGCCAGGCTCGACCCGAGAAATACCACACAGAAGACAGGCGTCAAGTGGAAGATATTCCGCGTTTCGTCTGATGAAGGTATGCATGGGAAGGGAAAAATTTTCTTTCTGTGCATCCTTTCCTTCGTCGATTAAAGGTAGGCAACTCATATGCAATTGCGTATATCTATGGGCAACGGTCACTTCGCTATTTCAGCGATTTCGGGTGACCTCTCGTTCGTTCCACCTTATGAGATAAAAAAAAGTTCATGACAAATTGTACTCAAATCCGTCGAGCCGTTCTGAAGATAAGTTCTAACAAACAAACATCCATCCATTTATCCATGCAAACATTCGAATTTATAATATTAGTAGGATAGTAAATTATATCGTATATATGCTTTATTTTTGGTCGTAAATAAAATTATTTATTTAAATGGAATATTTCCGAACGCAGTAAGTTCTGTTTTTATTTTCCCGCCGATTCGTAAATGTCACAGATAACATTAATATTATTCGGATACGCGTAAAATATTTGTAATAAAAATCAAAATAATTATAACTCTAAATTATATTTTTATTACGATACACTACCCAATTATTAACTACGGTATTTAAATAACGATGATTTACTGCCAACTCAGAATCAACACTCAAGGTGACCCTTGAAATATTAGTATGAATAATTTACACTAAGGACTACTAAGTGTGCTATAGCTTTTTTAGTGCAGTAACATCTCACTATTCGCGGGGTTTACGTTCCGAAAATTTACTGCTAACGAGAATAGCCAAATATCACAGCAAACCGCGAATGAGGGAATTGGTCATAATGTTTCTACTAATCCTACGTTGAACTTACCGTGGATTTTTAAGCCCTAACTCCTCGTTTGAAACATACTTTTATTGTTTTGTTAAAAATAATGACGGGGATAATAAAATTTCTTATACACAGATTTTGTTGTCAGAAGCTCACGGTTAGTGGCAAAAATAATTAAGAACGCTGTCAAATAAAATTGTTTTAGTGACAGTTACTTGAAGGTTATGTGAGATATAAAGTTTCTAGGTCATTAACCCGTTGTCAATGTTTATGCTTTGGGTATTTGGCGAGATGCCTATTCCAGCCGTAAGGTCGAGTTATAAATCAATCTGAACTTACCCAATCGACTACACGGCACGAATATCAAACGAAGGATAGATTTAGAAAAATACTTAGAAATACAATTGAAAAAAAATATACTAAAAAAACTTTTATCTTGTCGATATTGTTTTCTGAATTAAGATATTTTTATTAAATTACATTCTGTAATGTTGGATAAACGAAATAAAAAAATTGGCATTTCAAATTTGACTTTGACACATGACATTTCACATTTGACATTTGTTGCGAGGAATTTAAAAAAAAACTTTAGTATGGATAATCTGTAACATGACCATTATGATAACGTTATTTTTTTTGGAGGTTTAATGTATAATAAGCAGTGAAAATGTTATTTTTATTTAGAATCGTTAGCATAAATTCAAATATAAAAAGTTTTATCTTATGTTAAACAAATTAAATTGAAAAAGTGTGAACAACTTTACATGCATCATTAAGTGCCCATTTCCAAGTGTAGTTGCGCAATTGTCGCATTTAACTATTATTTTGTTTAACAGTACCACTGGAAATAAGACACGTGACTCCAGACTCTAATGTACGAGTATAAGCGTCTAATGTATAAGTGGAAATTGGGCTTAAATGCAACGATTTCGTTTTATATTTACACGTTTTTAAAGTCAGACGTAAGTATTACGAGTCGTGTAATGTCAGAGGCCGGCCGGGTGAACTTGGGGCAAGCGGGTTGGCTCAGTGTGGTGAAGAATATAAATATAGTTTTTATGCTAATAAAAACTTATACCAAAAACATATACAACTAGATTTTTAAAAGAAATTTTATAATAATACAAGGCAATGTACTAAACAAGTATCTTAGTAACTATTTACCTAAAATAAAGCGGTTTTCTTGTGGTATTTAAAATATTGTTCTCCAGTTAATTTAAATATATCGAATTTGAATCCTTTAAATAAATAAATCCACCATAACCATAGCCAATTTTGATTTTAGTTTATCACTGTTTGCTTTTTATTTATACTCTGTGTAGATACGTCAACAAAATTCCTTTATTCACGATTCGGTTATGCGTCGTTTCCTAATTCGAGGTCAAAAAAATGTAAGCAAATTACGTATTTACGCCAAAATATTTACTAATAGTTTCTGTATCCGCGGCATATTTTCAGAATATAACCTAGCGAATATAGAGATTCGAATTTTATAAAGTAACATTTCGAATAAACTACGTAACGAAATTAATTTTATATATGGTTGTATCTTTTTTTACATATGAAAGTGTTGAATATTTATTTCGTCTTAAACATAATTTACTACCGCCTACATTTGTAATGCGCGTGAGTCTGTCACACGTGATTAACGACTGTCTCAAGTCATATTTATAACTTTCTTATGTCACTTTCATTCATTTTTTACCTGCATGTAACATGATGTTAATAAACATTCATATTAAATTCTTTGAGGAATTTTTACTTCTTTAATTCGAGGTTTAAAACCTCTCCATACGTCCTGAGATGTGTTTTAAATATTTCCATTTTATTGTAACCATCTATAGCCTAAACCATTAAGCCGATTGTAACGAGTCAAGTGTTATTCGCTTCGTCTTCTTCCCCCGAGTGTCATAGTCTTTTGTTTTTTTAATTAACTTTTTTTGTGACTAAATAGTCACTGTTTCCTTTGAAGAGGCATTTATAGCTTTTGGAGAGGTATTTACAGGTTTAATTATTCAATATTGTTACTAACCTGTATGCATGCACGTGTACTGGACAGCCAGTGATGGGGTTGTATAATAGCAGAACGCAGGCAACTACATCGCCTTGTACCACAGCACTCGTAATGCTACCGTGAGGAATGAAGTGCTTGATCGTCTGTTGTTTGCCCTTCGCACTCACATTCTGGATTATCTTCAGACCTTTGTGCGATACCTGGGCAAAATAATTATTACGTCAACAAAAATAATAGATTCCAATGTTTGTTTTGTTTGTCAATGAGTAGCCAATGTTTGCCTTAACAGCATTTACTTAGGCATTACAACTTCACCAGGCTTTGTAGCCGCAGATGGCGCTTAGCCTTAGGTTACAACTTTTCAATGTTTACTTTAGTAGGGGAAGAAAGTCTCTTTCCAGATAGACTAAGACTAGTGAGTTAATAAATGATAATCTCCATTAAAAATTAACTTTAAATTTATCTTAAATATTTCTTACATAAATATAATTGTGTTTTAATAACTAGAGATGTAAATTAAAACAGAGAGGAATTAAAAAAAGGTAATCTCGAAGTTGCTATTTCATAATTGTATATGTATATATAAAAAAACAATTTCATACCTGTAGAGTTACTTTAAAAGGCTCCAAGTCTCTGGCTCTTTCCTCCAGCACTCGTATAGCTGGGAGCGCAAACTCCTCGCCCCGCAGCCCGCGCGACTCCTGTGCTCCCAGGAACCACACGTAGTACGAGGCCTTTTTTATATCCTTTTTCAATCTTAGCGCCATTGTTAGGCTCCTATGTCATTGTTGAATATCTGAAATAAAGGAAAAGGAAATTAGCATTTATTAAGATTTTTGTTTTTTCGACTTCATTAGTTAGAATCCTTTGGGGCGAATGCCGAGGAGACTTAAACGTTGATATTTTAATAAAACTAGTATTGTGCCGATACACCGGCACAGTATTGATTTTTCTTCCTAACAGTTTTTTTTTTTTATTGAAATGCATTACTTTAATTAACGTATCCATAGAGACGTATCTTCTTATAAATAGATCGAAAAAAGGGTTATTAGTTGTAGTTCTTTTACTTTCTTGCTTAGGAAGAACTTTGGAGTAAAAAAATAAGTCACCTAGGTGTGAACAAGCCGAGCATAAATACTTATCGTGGGCTTTCGACATCAAAATCTCTACATTATGCATATCTTCATCCCTGTCATTACTATGACAACACAGAGATAACAATATTTTTAAACGGAGATTTTGGACTAAGAAACCTACGGTAAATGAGGTTTAAAAGTAACTAAGTTTAATCGATTGTCGGCGTTTTAATATTCCTTACAAAGTATATAGCATTGCAGTTGTAATTTGTCTACAATATATATTATCGTACGTGATTTTATTACAAAGATGGGCAGTGTTACCCAGATATATAGATCTGTATGAGTTTGTATGTATGTGTGAGAAGATTTGTTTGTGTTTATGAATTCTCTCACGCGCGTTTTGCTTCAATCGTTCGCAAACCTTGACACCTTTTTTAATTTGCAAGCAAAGCACGGCGAAAGTTTTTCAATTTAGTTAATTTATATATCTTTGTCTCTCTTATTTTGTCTGGTAAAGCTGAGACAACAGTTTTTGTGTGGTTCAATTCTTAATTTGATTTAACGTCATCACTTTTTCACAATTTGCTGTTGTTTTTCAGCTTTGTAACTGGCATGCAATAAACAAAAACAAATAAAAAAGAAGTTAAGTGGTAAAACCGAACGCAATTCTTAATGCTAAATATAATGTACGTGATTCTATTATACAATAATTTAATTGCAAGACATTTTCGATCTTAAAATGAAAAAATAAGGTCTATTTTCCAGTACACTTATTATAAAATTTTATGAGAAAACATTCGTATTTCTTGTGATGCCTTCAAATTTAATTTGTCCAAATTGCATTTGGAAGTATTATTATAATATTTTTTTTCAACAGCGTGAATAGCTCATTGTCTAAACATATTATTCTTAAACATTTTATCCAAAAATATGAGAAATAAGATATTTTACTTTAATGTAAGTTAAGTTAAATTTAATATTTTAGTAAAATATTCGCTTGAAATACCTTTTGAGACACATCCGTATTTACTAATTTTTTGGCTACAAGTGTACAAAGCCAAATAATGTCAAGATGAACAGTTACAACACTTGATGAAACAAACATTTATGTTTTTGTGTCAAACAATTGGTCAAGTGTACTATAAATATGTTTAAACTAATAAACTGAATAGCTGTGGGTTTCTGACACCAAAATTCTCATTTAAAACATATTGTTATCTCTACTTCATCAAAGATAGGATGACAATATGATTTATATACAGATGTCAGTTTTAGAAACCAATGATAAAACAGACATCGGATAAAACCTCACTGTCTCACTAAATTTTAAGTGGTCTCCTGTATAGTTTGAGAAATCTCTAAATATCTCCCTTCATTACTAATTAACCACCCTGTATATAATTAAAATTAATAAACATAGCTATTAATGTTATCTTATATGTCGGTATTAATTTGTGTTTATACAATACGTCATTGTATTTTTTTTTCAAATAATTGTCAATGTAACCACAGTTTAAAAACAATAGGAAGGCGTTTTTTATCAACGTTGCCAACAGATAGTTATAAAGATTTATACGTTTTGTTTCACACGGTGCGTTCTTTAATTGATTGGTGTACTATTCATACAATACTAGGATTTATGTACAGTCAGCTACAGAAATATCTAAGTTACAAATTTTAAAAAATCTTTTATACGCCTTCGGTTTAAAGAATTGTACATACGTATCTCTATATGCTTCCCATCATGAATACAAATTCACGAATACCTATTTTTGAAGACATGTACAAGTTTCTAATGTTATGTAAATGTGTACATATTTTTGCAGCTGACTGTACGTCTTGAAGAACGTCGATTTATGACAATGTGGTAACGATCAAGAAAGAGCAAGTGCTCTTAGGTCGACTATTGGGAAGTATTTTTAATAAGAAAAGTAACCGAAAGAGCGGTTGGAACACCGAGGTGATAGACGTCCGTGGACAATCACAATACTAGAGGAACTGCAGATACGTTGACAGCCTATAAGAATTATTTAATTAAGATTATTTATCAGGTTCATTACTTCTTAAGGTATTTGATCTAAATCATCTCATACGTCAACTTCTTCAGAAAAGTGTTCAAAACGTATACTATTATATTTTTCTGTCAAATACGAATGATAACTATTTTTTCTAATGATTATTTTTGACAATAGAATTAGAAATTGACCCACATAATTTTCACATACGTAAACAATGAATAGAAAATGTGAGCTACATAATAAATTATGACAATTGTATGAAGATTTTTTGTTGAACAATAACTAAATAATTAACAATTATTGTTAACGACAACTTAGAACCACTCTCGGCTTAACAATGCAACTTGAATAGAGAAATAAAAGCGATTTGCAACTAAATTAGGTAACACGGTTAAAATATTCTCATATGCTTAGCTTTATAATTATTTTTATCTATGCATGAAGATGTTTAAATGTGTTCTAAATTCAAACTTATTGTTTTTTTTTAATTAATGACTATATTAGATTTATGACGGTCAATTTAATTCGAACAAACGATTTCAAATAACGAATATTTCTTTACAGAAAATGGTCGTCCTATATTGTCAATTCTTACATCGGTTTTAACATCGTAGTCAAGTAAATTGCACGATCAAGGTCAAACTGGCAGGTAGAGTTAGCAAAAAACGCATCAACAACGGTATATTCGGTCAGTTGTTTTAAAATTCGCTACCGCAAGCCTGGGGGCAATGTCCGCCATTACGCTGACAGAAGCCAATTTTGCATCAAGTTTCCACTGCCCAGAAATGTATAAGACATATTGTTATCCTTCTTTTTTGATAGGGAATGAAAGGGATGGACATGTTTTATTGTACGTTTCTACAAGTCTAAAGGTTCATGTACACATAATCCGGAATCGTACGAACTGTTTTATCCGGCGATGACGTCAGTACCGGTATAGCTCTCTCATATATTCCCATACGTTTGTCTCGCTCTGAAGAGCCTGAGTTTTGTTCGTACGATTCCGACTTACGTGTAAATGAACCTTTATAGTTACACCATACTAGTCTGTAGTACACTTTAAGACTCGTGTTGGTACTATACAAAACACGTTATCACCTTCGTTCGTTTATGGCTACGCTTTAATCTTAATTCATCTAGTCACAAGACTTGTTCGCAATCTCGCAAAGTTAAACAGTAAATAGTATCATGTTTTTCTTCCTAACTGCAAACTTAACAAGTGGATTTCCACACCGTCGTATATTTTCATCGAAAATGAAGGGTAAAGACATAACAGATTTTAAAATGCATTTTATAGAATTGGTTCTATCTTCCGAATGACAAAAGTCGAGATTTTTAGTTAAACTATTTTAGTAAACCTGCGTATTAACCTACCAACAATAACGTTTTGAAATAACATCAAGAACTATGTCTGTCTTAGTAACCTTTTATAAATGAACCGACATTTGATGATCTCTTGACATAGTTCATAGAACAAAGGCATCTAATATTCGCAGACCTAATTTCCTAGATATTAACAATCAATATGCGTTTGAATTATATGGTATGAGAATTGTATTTGATAGCAATTGATAATAAAAAAAAAACTTAAGATTGTACAGAGGAATTACACCGGCCGTTGCTTTGAAGTCTGAAGTTATCTCCAGAACAGCTCAACGGATCAATATGAAATTTGGAACATAGTTCGGAGGAACATATATTTATTAAGTTTTTTTTAATTCCGCGCGGACGTAGTTATTAGTTCATATTTAAACTACATTTTAATATGTTTCGATCTTAATGATTTCTTAAGTAGTCTTTAAGTTAAACTATGAATTTTGTATAACAAACTCCTCTACTTATGCAAAATTTTTAAAATGTCCGAAATCATACACTTCGCGTTTTAATTATAGTTACCTGAAATATGCGTAACAGATGTATATTCGTTTAGCCGGTGTTTTAGTATAGAGGTCATAATGATACAAGATTCAAGCGCAGTAAAAACTAATAATCGTAAAATTGCGGCGGTATACGCGACCTGTGTACACCGTTACACGCAGACAGACCGTTAACGTCGTAGTCAACTGTTATGTAATGATACTAAAACTCGTATTAGTAACATTAATATACTGTCTAGATTTGCAATATGTCTATATCTCAGCTTTTAGACGATATTGGTCAGAATTCTTTGGCGCGAATAGCGCGCTTTCGTTACCAAGTCTAGTGTCAGATTGATCAGTGAGGAAATAAACGTTGACATTCCAATAAAGCTAGTGTTGTGACGATACACCGGCACAGTGTCAGATTTTCTTCCTAACTCAGATATAATTAATTTTGGAACACGCTGTACATATGTTACAACCGAGGAGCTCCGCGCCAAATGAGAAATTCAAAGATACGTGTGAAGTCAACCAAACCGCGCTTGCACAGCGTGGTTGACTATGGCCTAATCGCCCTTAACTTACGGTAGGCTCCCAGACCTTCGGTGGGGACTTATAGTGAGCTAATGATGATGATGATGATGATTAAATCGTTTTAAATATATTTTAAATATTCATAAACACAAATATTACTTAAACGGGGCGTGAAGCTAATAACAAAAAAATATATTAGTGATCGTTACATGTCAGTACTAACTTATAATTTCCATACAATGTCCCATCCTCTTTATATTCAAGGCTCAATAGACTAGTTATAATAATCAGTGTTGCCACACACGA